CAAATTATAGCATAAATATAGGTAAATAATTTAAGTTCGCAATACAGACGTGGTAAAAAATACCTAAATATCGTTAGGATTCGAAAAATCACTATACCTACAAAGCCTTAGGACCTAAGGACTAACTTAAACAGTATTAATAATCTGTTATGGCCTAAAGGCGCGAGAATTTTTGTGACGTCAGTCGCTGTGTATGGTATGAAAGCTGCGACTGACAGACGCGTGCGGCGTTCGCGACCTGCGTCTACACACGCTTCGCGCTGCGAATCGCGCTTTCTACAAGTAACACTACTTTTTGTGATTCTATATTTCCATAATTAGCGTTATGCTTTATGCGTATATGATGATATGTATAGTCAGAGGAGAGGACACGTCAGATGTTTTTTATGTAATCTCTAGATATCTTCTAATTCGTTTAGGATGTAGAATAAAATCCCATAGATAACGGTAAGGTTTTTTGGATATTTTATATACCTCCGTTTGTTCTAATTTCGAACACTGGCAGAACAGGCTAGGTCTCCATTTAGAGTACTGCGATTTAGTAAGGTACCTACGTTAATTCCTCTGATTCCAACGACACCATATTGTATTAGAAGATAAGATAGGTAAGTGTTCAAAGAAGTTTAAAATTATCAAAAAACCTTATGGACAGGTGTGCAAAATGTTAACCTAATTGTTACCGTTGAGTTTCTTTTAACTTTCAACAGCAGAGTTATTATTTTTAAATAAAGCTACTTGAAATGACCTTTCTTACTCAACGCTTAAAGAGATTACTGACAAATAATAAATATAATTTATAGTGAAATGAATCTAGTAAGTCACAACCATTAAGCCGGCGGATGGTATCACGTAATCGCAATATCAGTAAAAGTGAAACCGGGGTCATCTTCAATGTGAGGCGCATTAAGTTTTACGCTTGCCTTGGAAATTACTAGTCAAGAAGTGTTATCATTAGAATTAAACTTATTCTTAACTGTACTTTGTACGTGCTTTGTTACTGGCTGGTAGGTAGATATTTTTATAAAAACTATTATTATGAAATGATTTTTTCGGGTATAAATCGTGCATACTTGTTTTTTTTCAAATAATCCAGTATTTCGTCCCTTTTGAAGGTCACATGGCTGACAAAGATGGTAAAGCCGTCAACCAATTAAGTCAAATATTAATGCAAACCACCGCATTTTGTTTAAAGTGTATAGTTGTGTAAACATAGTCATGTCATAGAGATGACTTTATCGTCTCAACCGTGACCACGGGGCCGTGGCCTGTAAAGGTCCTAAGCATTGGTTTGTTTGAAAAACCAAATGCCTACACACGATTTAGACCCCAAATAATTGTTTCATATGCAATGTGTAACAATCGTGAATACCTAAGAGCTCGCTGTATTTTTTTTTATGTGAATAACGCTCACAGCACAAAAGGTTTGAATTCAGCAGCGTCTCCTTGTGCATCAGTTTGCGGATTGGTTGGCGACAACGGTGTATTTTCTCTTATTTAGAGGTGTTAGCACATACTTTTTGATATAATTTATAGTTATCGAGTTCGTAAGTTTTCGCGATTTTTACACATAGGAAATGAAACTATTTTTCCGGATTTAAATCGCGTATATTTATTTTTTCAAACAAACCGTAACCATGGGACCTGTAAAGGTCCCGAAACGTTGGTTTGTTTGAAAAAACAATTTAATAATAACAATTTAATAATACGTGATTTAAAGCGGAAAAATAGTTTCATTTCCTAATTTACAGTTTTAAGTAATTTTGAATTCTTTTTGACGTTTTGTTTTATTTCTTAGTTGTTATTATAAAAATCTTGGGTAAAATACTTTTTTAATTTCTTGTCGTTTTTCCCCTCTATTTAAAACCTATTATTATAGGCAAACGTCTCATCTACATTGATATTGACTAGTGTTGATGGATAGCACAAAGAAACCTTTATAAACATTTTGAAATGACTTCTGAAATGTACGTTAAGTAACTATTCTTCAAAAAGTTATCATTAGTCAACTATCTTCATAAATATTCCAACCAAGTCGCAACGTGTGACGGTATGTGCATGTTAATAGGGAAACGTTGAATTACATTACCTACAAATACCTACCTCCTAAGTACTTAAACGTAGGTACTAGTAATTATGTGGTGAAATTGTTGCCCATTGTCATGGAATAACAACGTACATGTACCAAATGAAAGCTTTGAAGAAACTAATGAGTAACATAATTTTTTTAGTAACTTTTGTATCTAACTTTGTATCTAGCTTACTTTTACGATTAGGATAAATAGAAACAATAAATTTACAATGTCACTGCATATGTTAAGGGTGATCCGAATTCGTTTGATAGCAACTATAAAACACATAGTACATTGTGTTACGAGGGCGGTAACTAATAAATTACGAACAGAAGAATCGATATTCATACATTCTCAGCCCGAACGTTTATAATTGCTGTTCCACCTTTGTGACATATACAAGTTGCAAAAAAAGGTAAAGTAGACTTAATGACCTTTTCAAAATCTTAGAAATAAATAAATCATACATACAAAATTAAACAAAAAATAATTAAGCTTTTATTTTTCTTACATTTGGTTTTGACTTTACTTATGAATTAAACGAAAATCTTTAAATTTATGTATTTATGCTTATGCATCTTATAAAAATTATAAATGGAATAAAGTCGACAGTCCATCCACTGCAATTTGGGGTCGCGGGGCGAATTTGGCGCGAGGTTTACTTCGAGGCATTGATGCGAGGACAATAAAAATAAATAAAATAAACTGGGGTTGCAATAAATATTCGTTTACTATTGGGCTTATTCGGTCTATTTATTGTTATTCGACCGAATACCGAATATACAAAAATAGAATGAAAAAACGAAAAATTATAATGTAACTTTTATTTATGCAGAACACACACTGTAAGTTCGAGAAAGCGTAAATTTTCACTTATTTATCAAAAAGATATAGGGAAGTTGTTATTGTAAGAGATCAAAAAAGGTAACAAATCAAATGAAAAGTACCAAACTATGACTAAATAAACGCTAACCAAATCGACTAAGTACTTACTTATTATTTATAAACCAAAATAAAAGTTTCTGAAAGTGAAATAAACAATTACTGTCTTAAGTCATAAATTTAAATTATAAACTTTAAAACGAAAGTACCTTCTTTGTTTAATTGTACAAAATTATATATTTATCACAATTGAAGTTAATTAGTGGTATTTTTCGTGCTAATTTCCGTATGTTTGTTTATCAGGCCGAATAGTTTGGGCGATTATTCGGTCAGAGGTTGAATATACTATTAGTTGCAACACAATATATTAACCATTGCCGCCCTAGTGCCGTATGATAAAAATACCGCCTTTTTTGCTGCAATTTATAAAAAGCAAGTGTAATGAAAAAAAAAGTAAATATTCGTTCTGAAAATAACATTTAAAAAAGTGACAGTCGTAGTTCAAGAACAATAATTACTATACATTGTAAACAGATACCACTAAAGAAACACTTTAAAGACCAATGCGTTTAAATCTTCAGCCTATGTCACTTTCTTCCACTCAGTTTATGAAGCCTGTTTGAGAAATCCAGGAAAGTGGTCAGGCGACATATCTCGCGTGTAATCTCATTCGTATACCATTGCACTTGAAACTAACGTAATACCATGCTTTATTAACACACACGACGCCGGTAACACTGCGAAATTATTAGTTAGTCTTGCTACTAAACAGACAAGTATATTGAGACTATTGCATGGTTATAATGGTTATCTCTCGAACAGTTAATTATAATTACTGATATATAGTCCACTTGTCGTAAACATGGTTTGATAATTCAAACTCAGAACCAATAAAACCAAGACTGAGATTTATAAAACAACCAAAAAAAACTTTGACTTCAGCTAGTTAAGCAAAAATGGCGAACTATGCAAATTTTTCGTATTTACAAAACGAACATTGCCCAAGTTTAAACAAGAAATTACGAAATAAACTCAAAGTATAATTTAATTTCATGATTCAACTAGGGCAAAGTTCGCTTTGTTACCTTGCCATTTTACTTACGCTTAGTCGAAGTCAAAGTTCTACATATAAAATCTTAGCCTAAAAATTTTTATTTCTTTTTATCAAATAAATCGAAGCTGATACTTATGTTTCCCCGTTTTAAAAACAAGTCAACAAAATCTTGTAAGTGGCTGAAACGCTGACCGCGAAAAGCCAAGAAAAATAAGAAAGCAAAACTAAGCAGGATATGCGGGCCGAAAATCGTTGTCACGCCCCCTATAGGATGGAAGAAATGAAATAGTCTAAGAATGGAAATCACGCCCGCATAGTTAAAAACACATTTTTTTCATAAATTGTAAATTCATGACTATGGATACAGGGCCTCCAGTCGAAATATTAGAGATAATGAACATAGAAAGTGTTCGATCAGGGTTGCTGTTCATAAAGGTAAGTTTACCCATTTGGTAGTACGATAATTTATTTTTAATTACTTACATGAATACGTATCATCCTTCATAGATCATAGATTATCTAATTGCGACTATGGTATAGTATATTACTAGTCTCCGCGAGTTACTGGGCAATACTGCATAAGGTAAGTAAGTAAATTGCATGTGGAGAAAACGATTGATTATAGTTATTATTTTGTTTATTAGTCTGTGTCCAGCCGGTTGGCGCCCAGCAGCGGCGGCTAAATAATAATAGGAAATAAACTTTAGAAAATAGAAATGTGAATACGTGTGTGTTTCCATTGGACAGGTTTTATTGACTTGGCATTCACGTTTAGTAATTTTTCTTTAGCCAAGAGAATTCTTTTCTATCAAAATTTATACAGTAACAAAATTACCCATCGTCAAACGTCGCCGATATCATTGATAACATTAGCCACATTTCTACAGGACTGTCCACCGGGTAGTATCGGTTAGTTTCAAGAAATAGGACTATTTGGCCACGTTTAATAATGAGTAATTTTATCATCTACAACATAATTCACACAAATTACAAACCTGGTGGTTGTTAGCTGTGGCAGCACTATGTGGAGGCACGGTTTGAACAGGTCGGGCTGGCTTGGCTGCCGCGCGCTGTAAAGTTGTTCTCTTCACGGATACCATCAGCCAAACGTCTTCTACTCGTTGGGCCACCTGCGAAGAGAGGCAACGTTTAATATAGGAAAAAAGAAACAATAACATCTTTATTACAGTTTAGCCAGTATCTAGTATAAGTCATATCAGAGGGATCATGAGAAATTACAAAAGAAGAAACGTTTGTGAAATTATTAATATATTGAAAAGTTTAAAACATATTTGAAGCATAAAGATTTTAAATATTTAAAAGATTTCAGAGGAAAGCACAATGGCGAAATTATTGTTAAAAGATTTTTTTGCGTCTTCAAATGTCATAATTACAAGTTTGGATAAAATAAATTTTATAGATTTTTCAAATTATCAAGGCCTCTCTAAGTTTGGAAATAAAATAATATTTAAATGAAACTCAAATGACTGATTAGTATGTAACCGGACTAATGACTAAAACTGTCAGTTTCTTAGTTTCTTAACGTTGAGCGAAATCTAACCGCCAAAAAGGGATTTTCAATACCTATATATAGATAGGTCCACTCTAAGTTAGTTCACGTAATATCAAATGTATTAGACCGATTTGCAATAAGAGATTAACTACTTTATAACAAAAAATAATGTGAAACTTCTCCAAACATTCACAAAACTGACAAAAAGTTCCTAATATCACGAATAGAGGGGATGTTTCACAAAAAAATAAGTCGTGCCAGAGTTACCAGGGCATGTTGGTTTCCATAGTCTAAGATTATAACTCAGTTTTCTTTTGTTATGGCCTAACTACATTTAAAACCGTCACCGGCAAAAGTTAGCATTTAAAAATTAAACAAGATGTTACCTGGGTGACTAAAGCCCTGGTCTCCTGCGTAGCCGACTGCATAAGCATGTCCCTGAATTGTTCTGGCGAGGTGAGACCGAAGCTTTTTGCGTCCTCAAGGAGTTTGTCAACTGCTATCAGACCTCCTTCGCCCGCTAAGATTTCTACACCTGTCGCGCACCATTCGTTTGCCTGTTAAAAAGAAAATCAAAGCAGGGATCTTGGCTGTTTAAATTACCAATTTTAAATTACAAATTACGAAAATTTTAAAATAACATTATTTAATATTTAATTACCGATGAAATGTGATTCCGTTTGTTTTGTGATTAGATGTTTTGCTGTTTTTCCCACACCACCGAATGGAACAGCCCCCCATAGTTAGAGATATTATCTTTATTGCAATAAATACAGAATATTTTTGGAATATACGGAGACTTACACACAGGTCAGTTGTTGGCGCTGTAGTATTTCAGCTTTCTAATATGTGATTTCAGCGCAAACGAGAGTTGATATTTAAAAGTGACACCAGTATCATTTGACTGATGCCAGGGATAGATGGCCCTTATTTCGTCTCTATTTCTGGTTATATACCTACTCGATGATTCTACTATGTCATAAACTCGAATAGGCAAAGAAAAAATGTTTATCAGCTTTACTTATTTTGGTACAGCTGGTTCAATATTAACTGGCGTGTTTCAATTTGAACGTAAACAATAGAGGTAATAAACCAAATCTTCAAAAATTATTGTATTTTTAAAGAAGGCGTTTCGGTGTTATCTTGTTTTGTACTACGATGATAACCGACATATTTTGACGCTTTTCAATATTTACAATGAATCATTTAAAAATTATGTGTTTGCTTTGCAAGTAGCAAAAGTGTAATGCCATAAAATTTATCATCTCAAGTTTGAAAACAACCGACTAACATTTAAATTTGGAAATAATTTATCAGACTTAAGACTTTTTCAATAACTCCTTGAGAAAGAATTTGTTGAGGGAAGCATTGCCGCCTTGCCGATTTCTGCTGTCAAGCATTCTGGTTATGTAGGGTATGGCTGCTGGTGAAATTACAGACACATGGCACTTAAGTCTCAAAGTGACGAGCACAGTGGCAGAGCCTCTCAGATCTTGCGACTTAAGGTTCTGAGTGGCACTGCAACGGGCGTATCGCTTACCACCAGGCGTGTGTGTTCGTCACGTTGCTTGATATTATAAAAAAAGTTAAGAAAAAAATAGCATTAAGAGCATTTGAAGTATCGCCCACTGAAATTATTTGTAAATAAAATACCTACAGCTTGATTTTGATTGACTCTCCCGATCGGAAACTGCGTCTTTTCCGAGCCGAGACGTATAATATTGCGGATGGGCTACCCGATCGGATCGATTCCGTTTTGAATAAACATCAGAGCCATAGTAGCAGTTATTGTTGTAGCTAGTGATGATCTCATGGGGTACACGTCAGTTAATATTGAACCAACTATGCTGGCCATTTTGAAGTTACTCGTTAGAATATTTATGGTTATGACGATATGGCTTTAAAACTTCCAGGTAGCACATCCTTTGAAAAGGACTGGGAGAGCAATACTTCTAAATCCTTACCTTGTCTATCCTGTCCATAAGGTCCCTAGCTTTGACCAGCAACATGTTTCGTTTCTGTATTTTGTCTATGAGTAACGCACTCGTTCGTCGTAGCTCCTCACATTTGGACTCTATGTGATCTGTCGAGCTGAGGGGATCCTGCATTAGTTTCTCGCCTGTAAGTAAATGATACTTTTTAATACAATTCAAAGACCTATATATACATATAATATAGATAAGAGATTTAAAAATATATTTGGAAAAGCGTAAATATATTCCGCTGTGACCTTAATAAGGCGGTGATTTAAACACTTACCATCCTCAACAACCGAAGAAGCAGTATTGAGATCACAGTTGCACAGCTTCTCAAAGTCGTTGGCTTCCTGGATAAGGTTTTCGACTCTGATCGCGGTCTCGCCCACCTCCGTCATATCGCAAGCGGTCTTTAAATGGCCGTCTAAAGTCGCCTGGGAAGCAGATAAAGACCTTAAAAAATATTACTTAAGCTTTTCTAAGACAAAAAACTGGTTAAGTGACCAAGGAGGTTATATAATGTAAGAAAAAAATATCACCACGGTGTTTATTTTTTTCCATCCTATAAGCGATGTACGCAAATAGGTTTTATGTATGTACATATGCTATGAGGTTCTTTTTCATGCACGATTTTATTTTACAAAACAATTTTAGAATAATGTATGAATTGTTTTAATGACGCTGGCCGAAATGATCGAATGATATTTTTTTACATAATTTAAAAATAAATATTTTGACACATAAATATAACCTTCAATTATATTTACGAATATTTGGATAAAAGCATTTTTTATTTGTAAGTCAATGGTAAAAGCAGTAAATTTTAGTACAGAATGGGGTTGGATATGATATGTAATTTTCGTAAATGCAGAAAATCGCTAACTAACGAAGCGTGGGTGACTACTTGTTCTCATGCATTTTGTATCGAACACGGAAAAAGAGAGTTTAAAAGAAATTCCGACAATGCAATGACTTGTCCAGCATGCGGGAGCGAATTGCGAGACAAATTCGACGTAATTCAAGCGGATCTTAAGCCTGGTGAAACTTTCAAATCAATCGTATTAGCCGGTATGAAACCAGACACGATTATGGAGATTGCAATGAGGGCGATGTCTTTTTGGTCGTACCAAGTGGAACAGGAGACGTTGTATCAAGAAAGTATAGCGAAACATTCCAGAGAGAAACTGCAGTGCATGGACGAAATCAATAATCTGAACTTACAGAAGCTTAGAGCCGAATTAGAGACGTGTAAACGTAAAATAGTGTCGTTACAAACAGAGTATAATAAGAAGAGGAAACAGACAGAGGAATTAAAAGCGTGTTTAGAAGACAAATCAAGAAAAATACAAAAGTTGACGTTTCAACTTGATGCGCAAAAGAGGAAAGACATACGGCTAGGTAATTTTGATAGTATATCAAAAAAGAATGAAGAAATTTGTATGGATATATCGGATTTGGTAGGTAAAAGAGCTGCGTCGGAAGCGTTCGTGTTCAAACCCACGAGGGAAGCCGACTACGATAATTCTCATCGTGTATGTTCTCCTAAAACACCGATGTTCGATTTTCGTAACAGAGAAAAGAAAAAATCGAATTTCCAATTTAGACCTGTGCAGTCTTAGGTTTAAAAATTTGCCGTACCATAAACCAAGGAATAGTTCTAGTACTTAATAAAAGGGGACGGATATAAATAACAATGCAGTGTGTACAAAAACGAATAGAAGTCCATAAGTTGTATTAAAAACTTGCTAAATTTTATTGTGAATTAGGGCCTATGTACACGGCGTGTTTTTGTCGACGCGCAGGTGATGCTCAGTAAACTTTTGCATACATTCTTATTGAGCCTTTACGCCGCCGTAAACGCGCCGTGTGCATAGGCGATATATGTCTGTGGCATAGGCTCTTAAAAACTAAGTTTTCTATTGGTTAAAAGAATTCATCGACTTGTGCACCGTTTTCATGAATTCAATTTTTTTGAAATAAGCCGCTAGTGTATTATCCATACTCTGTTTGTCCTCACTCACTCTAGACTTTCAATTTGTGATATGCGTATGTAATAGAGAATTAAGTATAATTTACCTGCATTTGTTTAAAATTTAATAAAAACGTTCTAAACTTCAACCAGTGGTTCAGTTTTGTGGAATGTTTTTGCCAAAAATTGTCAAATTGCTTTTCAGTCTCTTCAAGTTGCACAAGTAGCCTGAAATCAAATAAAAACATTTAGTGCAAGCAGAAGTGGCACAGTGGAATGTTTTTGTGGGATAATACAACTATCCCACATTTATTTTAGATGTTCCAACAACGCATTGAGTTTCACTAACATAACTATTCTATATTAACTTTAGAAATGTTCCCTTAGTGTCCGTCTGGCTGGTTCACCTGGGTGGACTACGTGCATTTTTTTCCGTACCTCTTTTTAGGTATAAAATAGAAAACCACTGGTGCTCCACCTCAGACAAGACGAAACAGATTTGATGCACAGATTTTTTTTTTTAATTTCATAAATCTTAATCCAGATCACAATGTAAATGGCGAGCTTTCTTTTTTAATGAGAAGTACGTGAGGAATCCAACATGCAAGTATGAGCTAACAAGTTCTATATTTACGCCTTATATTATGTGTCTTCTTTTTGTCATAAATATATAATAATAATAATAATAATAATAATAATGCACACACTCAACATAGCCCCGCACTAGGGAAACCCTGTGTCGCGGGTGCCATGGACACACACATAGACAACCACAAATTACACCCAAACTCACGAGAGAAATAAATGTAGGCCATACAAATATTTCTCCCGGCCCGGGAATCGAACCCGGGGACCTCTGCGTGGCAGTCCGGTATGGTAACCGTTCGGCCACGGAGGCAGTTAATATAAAATATAACAAATACATGATGTAAGTAATAGGTCTAGAAATATTCAAATTACAAATAAATAATGTTACCTTTCTACGGCGGCTACGTGGCTTATAATATTATAGGTAAGATTTGGTTTCCGCACTTGCGTCAGCAGCTCCTCGCCTTGCGACGTGGCCGATGTTAATTCGTTTTTTAAAGCTTTATACCTGGAAATATAACAATAAAATATATCACACCTATAAATTTTCCATTACGTTAGGTATTCACAAATTCAAGACACAAAAAATATTAAACTCCAAACGTCTTATCTTCATGCCGTATTTTCCGATTGTAATAACACAGCAATGGAATGTGATGGTAAAATAGTAGAACCGTTGCTTATATCAAAGCTAAATAAAGATACATTGTTCACATAAAATACCTAACTGAGCTATTATTTCGTAAGACTGTATTAACTGTTTAAGAGCTGGTTCACGTGACAAATATGAGATAGTTTGGTTTTTTTTGCACATCACTTTTCATCAACTAACCTAGATTCTTGTGAGTCTAATAGTTCTTTGGTTTGTGTGGGATCATTTCCCATATCGCAGTCCACGATCTCGTGCATGAAGTTATCCAGCTTGGTTGAGATATCCTTCATTAAAGTTGAGAATTTTTCGAGTGCCTAAAAAAACAACGATAACATTTAATAAATAAAATAAACGAAAACATTTTCCTTAAAAAAACACAATAACAGAAATCGGTGGTACTTATAATACTACGCAACTATATTTATAAAATGGCTTGTTTACATACCTAAAGACTCTCTCATTTATTTTGGATATAGCCAACGCGTTCAGTTTACAACGTATTTAATTACAAGTTTCACTAACTAATATAGACTTAACCATTCTACATTAACTTTAGAAATATTTCCTACGTGCCCGTGGACCATTCGACTGGTTTACCTGGGTGAACCACGGGCAATATTTCTCTTCCGTACCACATTTCTCAGGTGTAAAATAGAAAAACATAAAATTTATATTGGTGGTGGTCTACCTCAGACAGTTTGATGTTGGCCTTATAATATTACAAAAATATACAGACAATCAACTTACTATCCGTTGTTGTATCCATTCGGCGTGTGAATACTGTAGCTCTCCTCCCAAGTCAGGTGTCAGCTGTGACCGGTCAAAGTGGTCATACAACTCCTCGATTGACGAGCAAACGAGCACTTTAAATCTGAATTCTTCCTTAAAAAATTTATTGCTCACTTCTGATAACGCTTTTTGGAGAAAACTCGCTGGTCTCAATACGTAGACAGCATGAATGTTGCCGGGAAAGAATTCCTGGAATTGAAAGAATAATATGATTACACCATGGATATAGAATGGATTTTACCTGTATTGATAATCATTATCAGCCTATCGCAGTCCACTGCTGGACATAGCCTAGCCTAGCCCCTCTAAGTGTGTGCAATTTCGCCCGGTCCTCGCCTTGTCGCTTCTAGCTGCTGGTAGCAGCCTTTCGCGAGTCGTCATTTTTTATGTCGTCGTTTTTTTTTATGACGGAACGAACTAGTCGTGCGCCTGGTATCAAGCGATACGCCTAGTATTTATTTGGTCTGTGCGCCCGTCATACGTATAAACGCAGGCCACACCGCGGACGAAGCTAAGCTAAGTTAGCTTAGCTTACGTAGGCGGGGCATCTATTCACACTTCGGTTCGCTCCGCGAACGAAGCTAACCGAGCTAACTAAACTAACCCAACGATCCCACTAAGCTATGTAAAATATGTCGCTCTTCACCTTCGCGCGTATTCATAGTGTAGCACGTTACTACTTACTAAGTATTTTCTTAGCTTAGGTTTGTATTCAACCCGTGAGCTAAAGTTAGGTTAGCTTCATTGGCGGTGTGGCCTGCGCTTTACATACTTTTGCTGAGCCAAGGTCTCCACTCAAGAACTCGTTTTCGCCATCGGTTATCGGTTCTGGCCAGCCGACTGCCCACTGCCCACTTCAGATTGCCTATTCTACCAGCTATGTCAACAACCTTGAATCTCTGTCGGATAGCGTTTTTTCGAATCTTGTCCTTCAGAGAAACTTCGAGTATAGCGCCTTCCATAGCTCGCTAACTGACTTTTAACTTGTAGACCAGCCGTATAGTAAGTGGTCACGTCCGTATGTCATAACGGGCAGAACGTACTGATTGAAAACCTTTGTTTTCAAACTTAGTTGGTAAGGGTGATCGGTCACCTATATTAATATTCTACCTGCATTCTTTTACCTACTAGTAAACATAGTTCATCCTATTGATGACATCACAACACAGAGTCAATATCACACATCTTTATTGCACTGATTCAATACAGCTTACACAAACAGCTAAGTTTTTTCGTAATAACTTTCTTAAAACGATAGAAAGCATAGGCATTATGATCTATAGATAAGTTCAAAAGGGCCTCAAAGTTACTCAAAGTTATATTAGAAATTACAGCGGAAACGTTGTACATAAAGGAACAATTTTCATCTGTACGGAATAATATATAGTAGAGAAAAGGCCTTTTCGAAACAATATGAAAATATAAAAAAATATATAGAAACATTTAATACTTACAGAGATCCTTAATAATACTGTTTTGACAGAATTCCATCTGTCTTTTCTTCTATCTATTATTATATGGAAACCCATTTCTGCCTCTAATAACCTGGGAAGCAATAAACATAATGGTATGAGAAATGAATATTTAAACACACATTATGCTAAACGGCTTAGATTAGACTGTACAATTTCTTGTTAATGAAAAGTTAACGACCATTTAGCAGCTAGAAAGGTACCTACGTAACATACCTATTTAATGGACATGAATGTACTTTTTACTTCGAATTTCTTTAGGACAACACGATCGATGAAATAGAATTAAAATGGATTCCTATTTATAGTCAGCTATGGTAGACGTATGTGGGCCGATTGCGTGTTTTGAAATGAATAATATGGTAGTGAACCTTTTCAAAACTTTTGCGTTTTGGTGGGCAGTTTATTCAATAGCTACACTCAGGTCTCAACAACAGGTCTACGGTGTAAGAATTGTAATTTTCTTATTATTGATACACATACATTTATTTAAACACACATTTAGCTCAAGATCAGGATGCGTGGAGGGATTAGGAGGAAGCCTTTGCTCAGCAGTGGGATACATCAAGCTAAATGTAAATACATTTATTTGTAGATAATTCCATCCCCGGAAGATATAGGATTTTCCTATTTAATAAAGAAATGATTTGATAAAACGTGGGGTATCAAAGGAGCCTCATCACAATGGCGTATTATTCATGTCCTCGGTAAGTGTGGCGCATCTTGGGCAACAATCTGCGAGTACATTACGTCGATTGGTAAATGCTTTCATCACGATCGCACATCGCAAAAATGGCGGCTCTCGTGACGCGGGTAGCGATAATAAATTCTGGGCCACAATAATAATACGTGGGGCACACTATATGTTTTCGGAACGAATAAATAAAAAATACTATAAATGGTCAGAAATGAATTTATCATTTCTCAAAATATTCTCCGTTGGCGTTAATGCACTTTTTCACACGAATGAACCAGTTTTGAAAACATTTATGCCACTCCTCCGTAAAAATCTCTGAAACATAATTTTCGTACTCTTAGATAGCTTCTTCAGGTGATGAAAATCGTTGATCGCGTAACTGGCTCTTAATTTTTGGAAATAAATAAAAGTCACAAGGTGCCAGGTCGGGACTGTACGCGGGATGTCTCCTATGGTCAATGCTATTCACCTTCAAAAATTCGTTTGTCTGTCTGGCCGTGTGAGAACTGCCATTATCGTGGTGCAAGATGATACGGCGTTTACGGTTATTTTTACGGAGTTTGTATAATAACTTCTGGCAAACAAATGGTCGTGTACCAATCACTACAACAACAACGATTACGGTACAACGATTCTCCGAAGCAACAGTAGCCACGTGTCCAGTTTTATTAAAAAAAGAAGAAATCATCCGTTTAGAGCCACTTTGCACGCGCGCCACTTTGGTTGGTTTCGGCTCATCTCGAAAGACCCATACGCTCGATTGCTGCTTTGTTTTGGGATCTTAACCATAAATCCATGTTTCGTCACCTGTTACTATGTCCCACACCAAATTTGACGCCCCTTCGTTGAATCTGGTAAGCATCCGTTTTCTGAACCTCAGTGAAATTGTGTGGGATCCACCAAGAGCACAGATTTTTTACACCCAAATGTTTGTGTAGTATTGATTGTATTTAACTCATGCCTATGCCTAAAGATGCCCGAATCTCATGGAATATCACATGCCTGTCTGTTTTGATCATACGGCACACAGCATCGATGTTTTTGTTGTTCACAGCAGTGGACGGGCGACCATCACGAAATGCATCACTGAGATTCACACGACCGCGTTTGAATTCTGCAAACCAGCTATAAATAATCGTCTTGCATGGTGCTTCATCGCCAAAAGCAGTTTGAAGGCAAGCAAAGCTCCGCTGAGCTGTTAAATTACACATAAAGTCGTAGAAAATCATACAACGAAAATTTTCACGAGTTAAATCCATGGTGATGTAGACAACCAATTTCTAAAATGACGCCACAATGTAAAAACGAGTGACAGTCAGATGAAACAAACTGTATTCTACAGCCAAAGAGATCCATTTTCAAATGTTGTAATTACTTTTTAAATATTGTTTGTGTAAGTGTTCAGTTCCGGAAACTTATACTGCGCCCTATGTAATAATAACGCTCACACCCAACATAACTCCGCACTAGGGAAACCCTGTGTCGCAGGTGCCTTAGACACACACATAGACAACAACAAGTTACATCCAAACTCTCGAGAGAAATAAATGTAGCCATACAAATATTTCTTCCGGCCTAGGAATCAAACCTGGGACCTCTGCGTGGCAATCCGGATGGTAACCGTTCGGACACGGAGACAGTTAAAAACAATAATATAATGTATGCCATCGATACGATAACAAAAATACTTGTTAAATTTGATTTAGTGCCTAAATTATTTACGTTTGATATTAACGCCGAAAGTATGCATTTGGAATTTTATAGGTACTTTTACTTACGAAGGTATAGAAGTGAGGTAAAGCAGCAATCGGCGGTATTCATCAGCGGAGAGAAGATGGAAGTTGTTATGGTCGGGGAAAGTGATGACGGGCCGGTGGTCCTTAGCCAGTCCACCCGTGGCTAGTGCGTATTGCGGGAGTAACAGCTCCCCCACGGTGCGACTCTCGCCGCTTTCGCCGCACGCGTCGCATTCTGCTTCTGCAAAATTTAAAATATCTAATTACGCAAGCTGCCATGTGTCATACAATTTCGCACGAAAAAGACTAAATTCGTACCTTTGGTATAATAAAGCCTTATGTAATCAAACGTTAAATGCTTTTATCATATCGTCGGTGTTTTGTAGAAAGGGCGAAAGCGCCATTTCGAAAAATTTTTTAGGGTAGCATGTTTTAGCCTATTTTAAAATATTGAATATAAACAGGAGTTTTGAAATTGAATTTTAAAACCTAAACTTAATTAAAACCAAAATTGAATTTAATAACAAAATATAAATATTTTCAAATAGTCGTTAAAATCTAAAGCATGCTCCGCTGAAAATTTTTTCTAAAATGGCGCTTTCGCCCTTTCTACAAAACACCGACGCATGAAAGTCATAAAAATCATACGAACCGTGAAATTTTATTACTCTCCCATTTAAGCATAAAACAACTAATTTGATTCGTAGAATTTTTAAACCTCTCTTGAAAAGTTGCCATTTTGCAGATGTGGCCTTATTACACCAAGGGTACAAATTTTGTTCCAGGAAGTGTCCTAGAGTATGGTGTTATTCATGTCATAGGCAGCAGTACTATATACTTATGTTTGTCTTATGGCCAATAGGCTCAATTTACATTGCTGCGGAATGGTGTCGAAGAGCATTTTTATAACGAAATTGTACATGGCGCAATAATTATATAACATACAAACTAGTTATGATACGGTACTTCGTGCGAAATCCCGAAACTGCGCGAAAATTCTCATGAAGACGCGCGATCTATTTCTTGGCTCGTGCTCGTATCTAGAGACACAATTACCATCAAACTATGGTCAAGAAAATTCGCACTTGTGCCGCGACAATGTAAACTGAATCTCAACATACAATGTTCTGCATTTGTCCTTTCAAAATAAAAAAAAACTTTATTTCATAGGTAAGCACTATTACTTTTGAAATCGTCACATTGGTTAAACTCTACTGCTCATTCGTAAGGCAGATTCCCCTGTTGCTCTTTGTAAATAACATTTGTACACATTCAACATTTACAATATACACATATTTTTTCAAACATCATAGATCGAGACTACCTCCAAGAGCTAAACGGGTTACTACCACGGATTTTTGTCATCCAAGTACGCAGAATTCGTATAAACCTCTAGTATAAACTTTTTGTTTCACTATAGTTTTAAACCTCGTGAATAGCAAATTTTGTATATCAACCGGAATCTTGTTATACGTGGAGGACCGTATAGACATTGGCCCTTAAATGAATTTGTGACTTTGTGAAGACGACTATCAAGAACAGCTTGTTTATTTTTATTCCTCGTATTAATGTTATGCCTGTCACTATTTTTCATAAACAAGTGACTATTCTTCTTAAAACATAAATTTACATTTTCATAAAAATGTACTGTGACGCTAGTGTAATAAAGTTAATTTCCTTAAACTTTAAGTTCGGTCTACGACAGGTAAGCGTAGATAAGTAGGTTTGGTTCGTAATTCTTAGTTACGAATATTTAACCGTGTGATTGTTATTGCATGGTAAGTAAATATATATAAAAGGCATTAGTTTCCTGAATGGGCCTGAGCGAACAGGGTCAGGGATGGCTGAATGCAGATCACGCGTTAGTATGGCACAATTCACCGGACGCGCGCCATCAGATCGTGTTACCTTTGTTGCGCTACTTGATGTATTAGGTTCATGTCCAATACAGAAATACGTATAACTTTGAGAGAAGAAAAAATAAATTCGATATTGTAAGTCAATGATTCGATATTACAAACTATAAACAAGAATAACAGCAGTACTTAGAAATTGTTGATTTGTTTAATTTTATAATGCAAAAATTAATATTTTATCGATTTGTGAACGATTAATATGAAAGTATGCAATAACACCGCCATTTATTTTCTTTTACGCTTTTTTACGCTGTGTTAGAAGTCTGTCGTATATATAAATATAGGAAAAAAGGGGTCGTATACCTATTTCCACAGTTATAAAAATAATATCAAAATATAGTTTTTTCTATTTATTGAAACGTTTTTTAACTAAATCCTGTGTTTTCTTCACCCAATACACAACAGAAACAATAGTTTCACCGGGAATCATAAACGACTGTATGAAGTTAAAACACCTGAGTTTCTAGATATTTCTTACTTTTCTTAATATACCTACTCGATTCACTCAACCATAATAAAATGACTTGTACAGGTGCGAAGTATTATTAAATTAAAAATAATTAATTTGTGTGGCAGTTAAATCAACTTTAAAAATATTTTGGCATTCTTTAGGAATCAACTTTCCATGATGGAAGTGCTAAAATTGGCATATGTTAAGGACATAATACAAAACAACACTGCAGATAAGATTAAAGATAAGAACTTGGGTAGTGGGTGTTACACAGTTAATTAAGAATAGTTATTTGTTACGCAAGGCTGCAAAATTGTCAATCTAATGTCAGCAATAATAAGATTAAAATATACCAAGGGATTTATATTATTTAAATAAGTAATGTACCACAAATCGCGTAGTTGAACGTGTCATTATCTTTTTTTTTCATCAAAACAAAAAGTTAGGTGCACTACAGTCTTAGACTATGGAAACCAATCCATCCTCTAAGACCACAGTACATCGTCAAGTTCGAATTTCAAAAACCTTTTCCACGCTAACGCGCAAAAAACACTTTTGCGCAGATTTCTAATGAGAAAGTGAGGTGAAAAATCCGAGCTAGTGAGGTGAAAAATCTATCACTGTAGAACGACGTACTGTATTTCTTAAAATGAGATACCTTTATTTTATTTTTATTATTATTTATTAATAAATTTCGTTATTTCCTTCACAAAATGGTAACAGCAGAACAATGAACCTTATGATTTGCACAAATTAATTGGTGGCGGCTGGAGCATAAACTAGGATGGGTACCCACAGGGTTGTAATTGAAAACATCATTAAAAAAATGTATAAAATGATATGCATCTAAGAATGAATGAATGATATAAGAAAAAGGATGTGTGTGTGCGTCTCTGTATGTGTAAGTTCGTGTGTTTTTTGCTTGCGCGTGTTTATGTGTGTGCGTACGAGAAGTAAAATAGCATTCAGAATTTCTTCAATAGGTCGTACCCATGGTCATGGTAGAAGAGTAACATCCGTGACCATGGGACCTGTAAAGGGTCCGAAGCGTTGGTTTGTTTGAAAAATCAAATATACGCGATTTAAATCCGGAAAAATAGTTTCATTTCCTATATGTAACAATCGCGAAGACCTAAGAACTCGATACATCATACCTTTTATTCAATCAATATTACAATTCTCTTAGGATGAATCACATCGACGTGATGTGACACTCCTGCTGGTAAGACTATAAAGTAATAGAGCATTAAGTGACCTCTAACAAAGCGCGTAACTTTTCCGCACAGAACGCATTGAGCGTGAGGACTTTTAATGTAGAGCTATTCAAATGAACGTGGGTCAATGGCCCTCGCACCTAATTTGCAAAGGTCAAGATGCTCAAGAAACGAAACGTAGAGTTCGATATTCGTAATGAGGTGCTGGTTGGGGCAAATAAAAATTTTCGATAAAGGTCTTTATCGTCGGAACAACAATTAAGTATCAAATAAACGTATAGTGATGACACTTTAAAAGAATTGCAATAGGCATTTCGTAGTCTAATGTTCCATTAAATAATAAGATACATATACGATACGATATTTTAATATAAGCAATTAATTATTTTTCCTTTTATTTTTAAAAAAGCCGGGGTAGTCCAATGGTTCGCCCAGAGGCCGTGGTTTCGAATCTGGACTCGAACCCCTGAGTTTTTTGGAATTTATGTGCCAAATGTAATTTGAAATTGACCATGAACTTTTTGTGAAGGAAAACATTGTGACGAAACGTGCATGTCGAAAAAGGTTCACAACTTTGGAAAGACGCGTGAAGTCCCCGACCCTTATTGGGCCAGCGTGGCGGACTATGGCCTAAACCCTCGCCTGAGAGGAGACCGGTGCCCAGCAGTGGGAAGTATAAAATGGGTTGATGACGGTTATTTTTTCTAGGGCTAAAATTGTTCAAAATCTAAGTACAGAAAATTTTCTATTGAGTTTCAAAAGGTAGTATAAAGAGCCTTAATTTATGGTTTCCGAGTTTTATAAACCATTGTTATTTTAAACTTTACAATTGACCGGACAACTATTAAACCGTGCGGGTATCGTAGTTTACCACGTTTTATTAAAAAAGTATATTAATATCTAAATCGTGTCTATTAAATGTCATTGGATGTGATTGTAAAAAATATAATCAAAAACAAACCCCTTCGAAGGACTTCATTAAAGTCGTGAAAGCATTTAAACAATAAGTCATAAAAAGTGATAAAATAGTTTCTGTTTCTGTTTCTGTTGTATCTACCGTGTTACCGTGCACCGAATAATGTGTAGAAAAGCTAAAAATCTACTTTAGATCCATCATAATTCATTTACACAACATTTCTCAGTTTAAGTTACACAAAATCAAATAATCTTTATTTCACAGGTAAACAAATTACACTTAAAATTTTCACATTGATTAAACTCTCCTATCATTCGTAAGGCTGATTCCCCTAAGAAAAAACTAGGGGTTGCACTTTGTAAATAAACAAAATATTACAAACAACTTACAATTTACAATATTTATTTCAACGAGATTTTTGTCATTCAAGTACGCAGAAGCTGTATAAGGTTTAGTGTTAAGTTTTAGTTTCATTATAGTTTTAAATATCGTAAACGGGAAATTTTTGAATATTAACCAGAGTCTTATCATAGAAGCGTATACATTTCCCCTGAAATGAACTTGTAACTTTGTGAAGACTGGCAGTCGACTTTCAGAACAGCTAATTTCTTTTCTCATTACTCTATTAATGTTATGTTTATCTCTATTTTTCATATAAAAAAAAATATTCTGTGACGGTAGTGTAAGAATGTTTAATATTGCAGGGCCATGACAATGGCATTGACTCTAAGGTTCACCGCCTAT